ATCACCGGCTGGAAATCGTCGTCCTCCAGGTAAGCTTCCGACGCCGGCAAGTGCAGCGTGTCGGCGGACAATGAGTCATTGAGCTCCGGGTTGTGGCCCAAGACCCACTGCAACGGACTGTAGCCTTTGTGGTGCATCATTCGATTGATCTGGGATAGTACGTAGTCCAGCTCGATGTTGCGCTCGAGGCCGGTCTCCTCGAACCAGAGCTCCAGCGTCTCGTCGAACGTCTCGTCCGGTATAGAAAGCTGGCGAGCTGTGGCCCGTAGTTCTCGGCGAACCTCGTCCGGTGTAGGTTGGTCCCAGGAATCGTTCCGTCCAAGTGGACATGTTGGTGTGAGGCGTCGCACTGAAAGCCATTGAATCCCTCAGCTAGCCCCCTTCGTGTTGTGCGGACCCCAATCCTCTTGCGAGCGGGTCCTTCACCTAGTATCTCCAGTCGGGTCATGCACTGATCGAAAAGAACGTGATGGCCTGGGAGGTTGTAGAGGGCTTTCGTCTTCCAGCCTCTTGCCGTAGACGGCTGCTCCAGGTGCGCGTGTCGGCCGTCGGTGTACTGCTTCAGGTAGATCCTCTTGCAGAACATCAGGTGCGTGTCGTGGTGCTCTCGGCGTCGCTCTCGAAGCTGTTCTCTGTTGGTGTCCGTCTTGCAGCTAGATTCCTGCATGAGCGACCACAGCTTGCACTCTGGGCTTGACCATATATCGTTCGGCTCCTCCTCGTCGATCAGCTTGAGGAACCTCTTTTGGGTGCTGAGCTTGCTGAAGTCTCAGCCGTTGTGTATGCCGAACGTCCGTGCCTGATGTCCGCGTCGTCGTAGTTCTTATGTGAGTTGAGACTGGCCGCCGTCGACCTCCCAGACCTTCCGCTTGGCTTGGTGAATGTCTCGAGCTCTGTCCAGGTCGCGTTGTATCTCTTGGTATGCTGTGTCCACGGCGTCCTGGCATCGCTTGAGCTGCTTCGGAGTGAAATCCTTGGCCAATCTGTCGCTCTCGTCTTTCTGGTCCGTCTTGATATCAATCTCCACGATGGCTCCAATGAAATCCACTGCTTCTTCGTATTGTAGCACCTCGTCGCTTAGGATGGTGTAGGGACTGATCGGGTGCTGTACTCTGCCATGATCTAACATATTCTGTGGCAAGAGTGTCTGGTCGGCGCGCTCTTTCATGCTGCTGTCGTAGCTCGCCAGCATGTTGATCACGAAGTGACCCTTCGCCAACTGCTGCCGTAGTGGGGACCACTTGCCATCTCCATCCCAGTATGCCCGCTTATTCTTGTAGTCCGTCACCATGCCGGGCTCCTCCATGATTGGCCTGGCGAACAGACATTGCGTGCAGCCTGGAATCACATACGTCAGGATCTCCACAACGCGGCCTCCTGGAAAAGAAGGTACCACTGCACACACTGTCGCCTCGCCAGTCGCGTCGTTGCCGTACCTGAAACTCTTTGAGCACGGGAACAACTTCATGTTCTTGACCGGGAAGCCCTTGTCGAATGTCCAACGATCACGCTGGTCGCTCCGCTGTCGTGAATCGCCTCGGAGGGGTCTGGTCGTTCACGCTGTATATTTGGTCGGGCTCCGTGTCAGTAACCATCCGCACGTCATCTGGTTCTGCTGCTATGTGCTGTCTCTTCCTGCTCTGGTTTGGGCAATCCCTTGTAAAGTGTCCGCGTCCACCACACCTCAAGGATATGGTCTCCTCCGTCGCCTGCGGGACGGAGGGGGCTGCGCCAGCTGGCGCGCCTCTTGCCGGGGAGCCTCTGGTGTACGTCTTGCCACGGCTCTTAGCTGGTTGTCGTCCGCCAGCTCGCCCTCGTGATGCGCCTCGAACGCTACCGAGAGCCCTGCCTCAGTTTCTGGCTATGATTTGCGATGTGCTTCTCGGCGGTGGTGGCGGTGGTTGTACAGCAGCCATGACAGGATAAAATCCCCGAGCCAGCCTCATGTAATTCATCTTGCGAGCATCGGTGTACGCAGTCATGATATCGTCATGTTCGTCCACGCTGTACGCTTGGTCCGTACTCTGTATGTTGATCTGTATGGTCGCCGTCTCGCTGTAGTAGCAGGCCTCTGAGTCGAAGCCACTGGCACCAGCTGAATACTCCACTTGTTGATCGTCGGCGTCTTCGTAGTAGGGCTGCTGATATTCGTCACCTTCGCCGTAGTAGGTGTCGTCGTACGTGTCGTTGTCATGCGCTTCGTCCACCTGGTAGGCCGCTGCTCCTGAACTTGCCCTGCTAGATGGCAGCGAATCCAGGCCGAACGTCTTCTTCATCTCGTTCTCGACTTTGTCCTGCTTCAGGTCGTCTCCGATCTGGTTCATGACGAACTACTTATGTCCTTGGTCCAGACCCGCTCGCCGAAGGATGACCCAGTCCAGCACTCTGGTAGGTCCACGTCGTGTACTTTCATCTTCTTCTCCGCCATTCCGTATCTAGTCAGGTAGTCGAACAGCGGTTCCTTCGGCTTGCGAGCGACTCTGAAGAAGAAAATCTCGAAATCCGTCGGCAGCTCCGTTCTCTAGTCGTATTTGTATGACTTGTCCAGCGCTTCCAGGATCAGTTTCCATCCTTTCTCCTCCTCGATCTCTTCTATCGGTATGTCCTCGACGACGTCCCACGCTTTACCCCACAAGCCTTGCATGATCTCCAGACCTACGAGCTTCTCACTCTCCTTGCATCGAGCTCTTGCTGCGTAGATCTCCACTTTCTTCCTGAACGTCTTGTAGTTCTCCAACGTGCCGTCGAACTCTGGTACCCGGCCGCCATCATGTGTGCCGTTGTCGTTGTCTGTCTTTCTTTTTCCTTGTGCTGCGCCACTCTTTATGCTCGGTGGTCCCATGGGTGCTGATGTTGTCGTCCGTGAATCAACTGCTCCGCTACCAATGTAAATTAGTATCGGGGCTCTCTAGGTCCTCGATCGTATCAAATCGAAGTGTCAAACCACTTGCACCACTTCTCCTCGCCCTTCTTCCCAACTATGGCTCTGCCTGCCGGGCTGAGGGAAGCGAAACCCTTTTGACTGCGCGAGAGACCTCTCGAGCTAAACAATTACGGATCCTCTGTCTCTCTGCTCATGATGCTATCACGTTGCCTGCTGTGCGGGAGGGGGAGGGGAGATCCAACACTATTCTGTCAGAAACCTCCGACGTCCTCCGAAACTCCGTTGTATGGAGTGTAACTCACAGACGGTGGTGGTGGGGACAGTGGTGAGGGCGGTGGTGAGGGCGGTGGTGAGGGCGGTGGTGGGACAATGGGATAGTGGTACAGTGGGGACAGTGGTGGGGACAGTGGTGGGGACAGTGGGGACAGTGGGACAGTGGTGGGGACAGTGGGGACAGTGGGACAGCACAGTGGGACAGCGGTGGAGACAGTGGGGACAGTGGGACAGTGGGGGGGGAAAGTGGGGACAGTGGGGCAGTGGTGGGACAGTGGGGACAGTGGGGAGAGTGGGACAGTGATGGGGACGCACTGGTGGGGACAGTGCGGACAGTGGTGGGAACAGTGGGGGCAGTGGGACAGTGGTGGGGACAGTGAGGACAGTGGGACAGTGGTGGGGATAGTGGTGAGGGGACAGTGGGACAGTGGTGGGGACAGTGGGGAAAGTGTGACAGTGGTGGGGACGGTGGTGGTGGGGACAGTTGTGAGTGCGCTGGTGAGGGCGGTGGTGGGACAATGGGACAGTGGTACAGTGGGGACAGTGGTGGGGACAGTGGGGACAGTGGGGACAGTTGGACAGTGGTGGGGACAGTGGGGACAGTAGGACAGAACAGTGGGACAAGGGCGGGGTTTGAGGACAGTGGGACAGAGGTGGGGACAGTGGGGACAGTGGGACAGTGGTGGGGACAGTGGGGACAGTGGGGAGTGGGACCGTGGTGGGGACGTCGAACCGGTCGTGGCCCCCCCCCGCCGGTTTTCGGGTGGGGTGTGGGGTGTGGGGGGGGGTTTGCCGGGGGAGGGGGGTTCGAGCAAGCGGTTGTGTGTGAATGAGCGCCTCTAGCTCATTGGTTAGGTGAGGAGAGTAGCCCTCACCCCCCTGGACTTGAACCATATAGTCGGGAACTGGGCCCCCTTCGTAACCATTTTGGCTCAAGGCCATACTTCTTCGACTCACTTGTTGTTAACCCTCAGCCACTCACTATCCATCCCATCCCGAGACCCTTACTCCTCTCTTCTATCCCTACGAGTGCAAGTGTGTGTACTGCGCGATCAGAGATCGCACTGGGACCGAGACCGTGCTGACAGAGAAAGGGGGCACCTTGTCATCTGGGGACGACGTCGGTGGGGAGACAGTGGTAGCGGAGCCTCTGCGGAGGCTCGGTTCTGCGGACCCGACGATGTCCCAGGAGCAGGGTGCTAATTCACCTAACAGCTCGGCCTCGGCAGGCCAGGGATCTATCGTGGCAGCCTTGGGAACAGCAAGACAATGGGCAAGTGAGGATGGCCAGTTCCGCCTCTCGGAGGAGCAGCTCAGAACGCTGCTGGATGGAGTTGTGACAGCGACGAGGCCAGCACCACCAGAGGCGCCGCCACCCGAGAGGCCGGACCCGGCCACGGGACTGTCGCCACAGCAGTTGCAGCAAGTAATCAGGATGGTGCGAGACCAGGTCCAAGAGTCCAGCCAAGCAGGTCGGGGAACCGACGCAGCAGGCGAAGGACGGACCAGTGGGACAGCACCAGATCAAAATGACGATCCGTGGCAGCATGAGGGCCCCTGGGGCCGGAGACGTGCCAGAGAGCGAGACGCCTCCGATGGTGTCGAGAACAACGCCGACCGGAACGGCTGGTGGAAGTCCGGCTGGAAGGACAGCTGGGGCGACGGCTGGAAGGGGGACTCCGCCTGGAAGGACTGGGGCGGCTGGGGCGAGCGGGGTAAGGACTTCGCTGGCCCGGACGCCTGGAACAGTTGGAACGGGTACAAATTGTGGAGGCGCCAGTTAGTACGCTGGCGGCAGCTAGCGGATATTCCTGCTCACAAGCATGCAGATCGACCTCCAGAGGAAAATGGGCGACCTGTCGGATGAGGTCCTCATCTCCAACAACGGCGCCGACAATATCATAGAGCGCTTGGACCTCCTGTCCGGCGAGAAGGTGGACGACGAGAAGAGGAAGGCCGGGAGGGAGTGCCTCTTCGCCTTCCGGCGGCGTCAAAGAGAAGGTCTCACCGAGCACGCCGCCCGGATTGACCTGGCATTAAGGTAGCGACTCTGGGTCTTCCAGTCCCAGAGGACTGGAAGTTCATGTTCCTGGAGGAAGGCGTCGGTCCCGACGAGAGAGGACAGCAGCTGATGAGGGTCATGATGAAGACCCGCGACTTCTACTCAGAGGCTCTCGCCGCGATCAGGGAGATGGACGTCGCTCGTCGGGAGCATCTGTCGTTTCAAAAGAGATCGTTCGTGGCAGAAAATAGTTCCCCAGGGATGAGCTCACATGCTCCGTGCAGACGGACGATAGATCTCGACTCCACCCTGGAGGGCGATGACGTCTCATCGTCGGACGCCGACGGCGAGCAGCAGGTCTACGTGACGCTAGAGGGCCTGGGTCTGTATGACGACGAGCTTCCCCCGGCGCTCGCGACGATGCAGGGGGAGAGACGCAATGCGTGGAATCAGAACTGGGACCTCAAGCGCAAGATGAAGGTCGATCGCAAGTTCTTCGACCGCAGACAGGACAAGCTGGAGCTGGCCCACAGGCAGCAGCGCGGCCATCGCGCCGCCAATGGGCAGATCAGGCCGAGAAAGTCAAGTCTTCCACCGTCAGAGTTGATGAAGAGGACGAGATGCCGAAATTGCAATCAGAAGGGTCATTTGCCTCGTGAGTGTCCGGCGCGGAATGGCCAGAGTGCAACCGCGGGTGCCGCCGCGAATGTCAACGCCTACGTCTACGCGAACATTCTCGACCCGACCCAGAGCCACGACCCGGACCTCGACAGCGCCACCGTTGCCCTCGTGAGCGTCGAGCCCGGCGATGTGATCGGCGATGCCGCAGCGGGTCAAGGACTGATCGGCATGCCAGCTTTGAAACGGCACTGCGAGCTTCTAAGCAAGAGAGGCTTGCGGGTGCCCCAGGCGCCCCCCCCCCCGAATTCGCTCGGCCCGCGGAATCGGGGGGGCGCGGCAGTTTTGAGCGCGGCCCTGATGCCCGCGGGCTTCCAAGCGAAGATGGGGGTCATCGAGTTGGACGTCCTCAAAGAGAACGTGCCACCCCTCCTCCCAGTAGGTTTTCAGGAGATGCTAGGAGCGAGAATCGACCTGAGCACGAATCAGATTGAATTCAAGCGTCTGGGGGTGAAGGCTGATATGCGTCGGCTTCCCACTGGACATCGCGCGATGCGCTTAGACGATTTATTTGGAGTGCCCACTCCGGGAGCAGTTTTCAAGTGCCCTCCCTTGGTGCTGAGCCAGCGTCCCGAGGTCAAAGAGCAGGATTTCAGGAGCGAGACGATGTCTAGGTACACCATCGTCTCCCCGTCATCGTCCTCTAGGGCTGGGTCCTGTTCTCTCCCTCCCCCTCGAGGCCCCCAAGGGGCTTCGCGCCCGGGACAGCTGACCGACTCCGGGCCCCGGGAAGGTTCGGGGGCTCGAGGAGCCCCGGGTAGCCCAGACAAGAACTCCCAGGGATACGGATCGGAGCTCACGCAGCCTAGCGTCCTCCCGGATCGAAGTAGGGAAAGGAGGACTGCACGTAGGAAAACCGAAGGAGAATAACGGGTACGACAGCAGGGGCGACCAGGAAGGCCAGAGGCTCGTGAACTTCGGTCGGTTCAGAGACGAGGGGCAGCCAGAGCCACGCAGTCGTTCATCTGGATCATCGCGTTCGTCATTACGCAGCGGCTGGGCTCGAGCATTCGAGCCGCCAGCTATCCCAGCGAACCCGACAGGGGCATCTCCCAGCGACTTCGTCGCTACGTCGGGTTCTGCGGTGTACCTATGAGACCGAGCCGCGCCGCCGCCAGGTGTGAACTCGGTCAATGGCCCCCGCGGCTTCTCCACCTCCAAGGGCAAGAAGAAGGAACGGACCGAGGCGCAGCGCCGTGCCAGCCGTCCCACGACGATGGGCGAGCAGCTGGGCGATCACCAGCAGTGGGCCTACGCAGCCACCGGAGCGCCAGTGCCGCAGTCCATGGCCCGCGGCCAGCGGTCGTGGGCGGCCTTGGTGGGCGCCGCTGTCTTCTGGCTCTCCAAGCTAGCCGACGAGTTTGGCCGGATGATGATCAATCGCCGTTTCTGGCCGACGAACTTCGTCAAGCGCATGCGGGTTATCCCGCAGCAGTTCTACGCGTGCCGCCGCGTGCCCATCCACGTAGATTTTGGCAGCAATGGGCATGGGCGTTGGCGGGTGTGTGGGCCATGCGCCATGCGGGTCGCCTGCCAGGACATCGAGCCAGACAAGTCCACGAGTCCACGCCCAAGAAGGAGATGACCTGCGCGTGCAAGCGCCAGACCGCCGCCTGCTCGCTGCGCGGGAAGGGTTTCGCCCAGCTGGGCGGGGCCGATCCAGAGTGACAGGCCTTGGTGGCGGCCCGCCTCCTCCGCCAGGGGCGCCAGCGGCGAGGGCGTCGGCGGGGGCGGCGCCGCCGTGGCCAGCGTCGGCCGACGCTCAAGCAGCTGGGACACCCTATCAGCAGGTCGAATCGGAGCAGCCCGACGTGATCATGCACGACGTGGAGGAGCAGGCCAAGAAGCAGAGGGCCCAGCGTCGCCGACAGGCAGCACCATCGCCAGCCAAGAGAGCGGCGATGGAACCCTCAGCCAGCTCGGGCGACGGCAACGACGAGACAATGCGCCTCCTGCAGCAGATCGCCAACAAGCAGCATCAGCAGGAGGCCTCCATCGACCAGCTCTGCGCGACCGTGTCGGGCCAGATGGAGTCGGCCGCGACGCTCCAGTCGAAGGCGCAGCAGCTCTCGGCGCATTCGTCGACGGCGCAGGTCCTGACTGGGCCCGCCGCGACGGAATCACCGCCCCCACTCGTGCCACGGGGGCCGGTGCATGCCCAAGGCGACCCAAGTATCAGGTCTGTAGAGCGAGGCGGAAGCGTCAACCCCAGAGGCAAGTGTGAGTGTGAAGCGCGAGGGGCCGGGGCAGGGGCCAGCCGCAGCCAGTCCGTCACCGGCGCCGGCGGGAGTGGAGCATCGCAGCATCGCCACCCCTCCGGCACTCCAGCAGCCCCCGCCGCTTCAGACGCCGCCTCGCGGAGTCTCGATCGCAGCTCTGCCCTCTCCGAGGTGTGGGACTCCGTCGGCGGCCGCGGCCGCGACTCAGGAGGGGGGCTGGGGCTTCGTCGGCGCGGCTCCAGTGGTGAGCGCCTACCCGTCGTACGGCGCCGGCCCAGCGACTCATCGGACCTCGAATGCGGCATGGCCTCCGCCGTTCGGCTGCGCCAAGACCAGGGTGGGCAGCCCTCGGGGTCTTCGCGATCAGCAGGGGGCTCTCATCTCGTGTTCCACGATCAGCAGCTTCGCGATGCTTCAGGCGCCAGGGGGCACGCAGCAGCAACCCCCGGCGACGGCCCCAGTGGTGTCCGCCCAGCAGCTCACTTGGGTGCAGAGCGGCCCGATGCAGGACGGCGGGCAGCAACCTCGACAGAGGGTCGAGCGTCCGACGAGGCCTTCAGCGGCGCGACCTTCGCCAGCCAGGGGAGACCCGTGGATGCCGACGGAGAACCCGGAGGGGCGGCCTGGAGGCAGCAGCAGCAGATGAGGGACGCCGAGAAGAAGCGCCTGGCCAAGGAGGGGTGGGAGCAGACTGGGTGGAAGACGTGGGGCCGCGAGGGCGGCGGCAAGTGGGGCTGAGCCGGCACCCGGGCCTCCACGACAGCACCGGTACGAGGATAGGGGGGCCCAATCACAGGAACATTTTTTGAGATCAGTTCAGATGAGCGGTTTCAGGATCTGAGCAGGGTGTCCGAGGTTGAGAAAATCCAGGAAAAGGACGGCAATACGGAGTTCTATTGTCGGGAGCTCGACGACACCGTTTTCGGGGATCAGTGGTCTGATGATCGAGAGGCGGACCTAACGAAAGGGGAAAGGAGAATGCTAGGAGTGGAGGGAGGATGTTCCGACAAGACCAAGCTTTACAGAGCCCGGCTTAGGAGCCGGGCCTTTGTCGAGGTTTTTTCTCGTTTTAGGATCGCTCACTACTCTGACCACGCCGGAGTGGTGTGCCTGGGCAGCGTCGACAAGAAAGGAGGATGGGACTTCCTAAACGAACAGCATCGACAGGAGTTCCGTACTTTTCAGCGACAGCGGAAACCCTGGATGACTATCCTGGAGCCCCCGTGCGACGCCTTCTCCATAACGCACAGTGCCACAGCTCATCTAGAAACGACTCCGGAGCAGCGCCTTAAGAACGCTGTGGCCATCGTTCTGCTTGGTTTCGTGATGGAGGCGGCTCTATTTAGAACGGCACCAGCAGGGGGGAAAGTTTGTTTTCGAATATCCGGTCACCGCGGGGTCCTGGAGAACCGAGTTGGTCCGCTATATGCAGGGCCTCCCTGGGGTTGGGTCCATGTGTGTCGATCTCTGTCGCGTCGGTCTATCGGCGACGGAAGATGGGGCTTTGTCGAAGAAGCCCACGAGGCTGATGTCTATTTGTGACGCCTTTTTGGAGCGACTTGCCGGGTCTAGGTGCGCTGGTGACCATTGGCACGCTCATCTGATTGGCAGTTCCATGACAGCTAGAGCTCGAGTGTACCCGCCAAAGTGTGCCCGAGCCGTGGCCGAGGCCGTTTGGGCCAGCACGAACGCGGCCCTTCCAGAGACGTCTCCGGGACAGGTCAGGGCTGCGAGAGATGCTGGGGGGCCAGAGCTGTACCTTGCCGAGAGCTATCCTGCCGACGTCGAAGAGGGCGAAGCCCTCGAGGGCGATCCGGAACCATAGGGGATAGCCCAGGATCGCCCCTTTGAGGTCACCCCGAGGATCAGACGGCTCATGCGTAAGGTTCACGTCAACTTAGGTCACCCCCACAAAGATGTTTTCCTGAAGGTTCTAAGGGGCGCCCAGGCTAAACCCGAGGTGCTCAAGTTCGTGCAGGACGAGTACCGATGTGGCGATTGCGCCGCGCATTCTCGCCCGGCTAGCAGTCGCCTCGTGGCGGTACCTAGGACGCTCGAGCTTAATCGCACCATCGCTCTAGATACGTTCTACGTCACCTTTATGGAAGAACAGCTGGCGTTTCTCAATGTCATATGTCATGGGGCCAACTATCAGGTCGTGGACATGTGCGATGGCGCGGCCCTGGGGGCTTGGAGGGCCTTCATGAGGGCCTGGGTGAGACCCTTCGGGCACCGTCTTTTCGTCGTTACGGGCGGAGGGCCAGAGTTTCGGGGCCATTTCGAATGAGGTTTGGAACCCCTGGGTGTCTTCCAGCACGTCACGGACTCGGAGAGTCCGTGGCAGAACGGCCGGGCCGAGAGGAACGGGGGCTGGGTTAAAAAGACATCCTGGTTCGGGCCTCTGAGACCACCCTCGTCGCCACCGCGCTGGAATTCGAAACCCTGGCTCACGAAGTGACGGCCGCGAAGAATCGGTGCCTGCATCGGGGGGGGTTCACTCCATGCCAGATGGTTTTCGGCATTAACCCCGAATGCCCAGCGACGTCGCGCCCGATGACCCTCTGCAGGTGGTGGGAACGGATGACTTGTCCCCCGGCTCTTGGGATCAGGACACAGCGGCGGCCGAGTTCGCCCGCAGGGGCGCCATCAGGAGGTTGGCCCGAAAAGAATTGTTCGAGTCGTCCAACCAACGTCGTCTGGCAAAAGCAGCGCGCGCACCCGTCCATCGAGACCGGCACTTTTCCCCGGGTCAGTGGGTTTACGTCTGGAGGAGGGCTCCCCGGGGGGGCCAGAAAACCTTCGCCCTTCACAGGGACAGATTGGTCGGTCTGGAACTCGTGGTGCCGCAAAACGGCACGTCGTTCTGGGTGGCGATGAGGTCTCGTCTCTGGAAGTGCTCCACCGAGCAGGTCCGGTTGGCCACGACCGAAGAGTCCCGGGGAGCGGAGATTCTCGCCGACTCGTCTGTCCAACAGCTTCTCAGGGAGGCCCAGACCAGCGCGCGTCGAGCTGGGGCGCGTCTCCAGCGAGGGGCCGCCTCCTCCCGGAGCATGGGCTCCAGACGCTCCCGTGGAGGTCGCCTCTCGTCCCGAGGTTGCGCCCGCTGTAGAGGCTGACGGCGGGGCCGCCGCGGTGGAGGGCCCCGACATAGTGCCTCCTTCGGTCGTTTCAGGAGAGGGGGGGGAGTTGGGAGGTCAACCAGGAGCTCTCCCACCCTTGCCTTCTCCAGGTCTCGCTCCGATTCCTGAAGAGGCGGCCCTCCCAGCTCATTCCGAAGGGGCACGAGCCCCAGAATCCTTGGAGAATAGATCTGAGGTTCCGGTCTCGTCTGGGCCCTCAAGGCAGACCTCGGGGCAGTCCCAGAGAGCTCGCAGTGTCACGGAGCGAGACGGCGATTCGGGCCGCGCCACTCGCTCAAAGCCCACTCCCCCGCAAGGCGACCAGAGGGACAGAGAGCCAGGGGTCGCCTCTCACGACGGCCCTCAATTTGAAGCCTCGGCTGCCAGTGTTCCGCCTGCCAGTGCTCCTAGGCTTGCGCTGTCCGATTCTGCCTCTCAGCGTCGCCCGGCGGAGCCAGTAGACCCCGGTCGGCTCATTCGCTTGATGCAGGACACCGAGGGACTTAGGCGCCCGGGCGGAGGGAGTGGTAGAATGGCTCGCTCTCCAGGGGAGGCTTTTCGGGGAGTTCAGGAGGGCAGAGTGAGGCAGCAGGTCAGAGAGCTCGAGGCTCCCACCCGACAGAGGTCTCACTCGCCACGAGGAGGAGACCGCGCCGAGAACGGCGGGGCCATGGCTATGGCCCTTCTTGTCCATATGGACGAGGAGGTCGACCTTCTCGATCAGTTTGACCAGGAAATCCAGTCCCAGGGATGAAGTGGGTCTAGGGAGACTTACGCCAACGGAAACGCCGATGTGGAAATCGCCCCCGGGGAAAACGGGTCTGTTTCTTTTTCTCTCCTGGCCAATCGAGGCGCCGAGGTTCAATGCAAGCGTCTTAGCCCAGAGGAAAAGTGGGAATTCGACATCTCAGATGCGAACGAGTGGGAAGCCATATCCGTGGGAACCAATGCTGTGATAGTGCGCCCCCCCAAGGAAGCCAATGAGCTTCGCCGGTCGTTCCCGAGCCGGACCGTTTCGAGTCGCATGGTTCGGAGGTGGAAACCGCAGGAGGGAATTTTTTCGAAGGGGAAAGCTAAATCAAGGTGGTGTGTTCGGGGCCATCAGGACGAAGATACGGCAGAAGTCCAAGTCTATGCCCCTACCCCGTGCATGGAGGCTCTCATGTTGGTCCTTGTGCGTCTCTTATGTACCGTCTTATTATCTATATTGGGGACATCAAACATGCTTTCTGTCAGTCTGAATCCCTTTAGCGTGCTCGAGGCCGAGTGTTCGTGGTACCGTGCGACGGAGTCCCGGTTCCGCCCGGCTCACTCATCGAGCAGATAGCGCCCGTCTACGGCCTAGACGACGACCCGCTCGCCTTTCACCGCGCCGCGGCCAATTTCATGAAGTCGCGGGGGTTCGAGCGCACTAAGCTCGAGCCTCGCTGGTTCGTGGAGCGAGCCTGCGGCGAGTTGTAGGCGCAGGTGCTGGTGGAAGTAGACGACTGGGCCATAGCGTTCAGAGAGGGCAAAGAGAAAAACTACCTGGGCCCTTTTCAGGGGCGCGTCGCGTTCGGGAAGCTGAAACTTCTGGGCGCCGCGGGGGTGGAATGCATAGGTCGTAGGCTTCGGTGCGCCGGGGGCCGGATTCTGGTCGACCAAGAGAAATATATCCTGGAACAGCTTCACAAGATCCCTCTGGCCCGAGGACGTAGGGGGGGCCATGCGGGCCTTCTAGTTGGAGGAGGTGGCGGCTTGCAGGGGCCTCGTCTACAAGCTTCAGTGGGTCGGAAGGGGAACCCGCGCCGAGGCCGCGGGAACGGCTTCTATTCTGGCCGCGAAAGTCAACGGCCCGTGTGTGAAAGACTTGCTGGATGCCAACAAGATGGTCGACCATCTCAGGTCGACAGCCTCCCTCCCGATCGTCGTCTGGCGGTTTGAGCCAGACGGTTTTGCGCTGGCGACGGCGAGTGATTGTGGGGGGGTGGGGGCTGAGGATAAGTGGGGGCCTCAGCATCCCCAGGAGGCCTGGCAAATCTACATGGCCGATAACTCGCTGGCCCACGGACCCCTGGCCCGAGATGCCCCCCTTGCCTGGAGTTCCGGGAAGCTTCGGCGTCAAGTGGCGTCAACTCTGGCCGGGGGGACTTTAGCTCTTTCTAGTGCTCTTGGGGAAGCCGAATGGCTGCAGATTCTCCTGCTGGACGTCACCCGTGGAAATGTGGTGAACGAGCGCTGCAGAGAGAATCTTAGTCCTTTCGTCGCCCTACTGAAAGACCAGTGCGAAGTGCTGGGCCCCCCCCGGCCAGCTGACAACGTGAGCGTCGTCGACGCAAAGGGGATGTACGACGCTCTATCCAAGCTGACCTCCGGAGCCAAGTCGGACCGCCGAGCGGCGATAGACTTAGTGGTCATACGGGGCGCCATGGGTCGGATCGGATCGTCAATGCGATGGGTGCCTCATCCGCTCCTTCCGGTCGATTGTCCCACCTTAAGGCAGATATGGCTAAGTGTAGCGCTGCTCAGCTCCATCTGTTGAAATCAGGGCTCCTTCGGCTCGCGGCCGAGGAGCAGTCCTTGCAAAAACGCAAGGAGGACCCCGGGGCCAAGAACCGATCTAGGGCCGC